AAAGCCTCTCAAAAAAATTTTTTTTTGCACCAAAATAAACTCATGCTTGGTTCCATTTTCCCATTATTTTTATTTATTTATTTTTTTGAGAGAGATTTTCACTATAGGGCGCGTGCGCTCGCCAGACAGACAGAGAGAGACAGAGAGACAGAAAGCGAGAAATCCCCCCCCAGGGGGGATGGTCACGCCGCAATCCCTTCTCCTCCATTCTCCTCTCGGGATCTTGGGCACGCATGCACACGCGCCCGGCGTGAGTTTTAAGCCACCGGGTCCGGTACGCGAACCACGGTCGACTACGTGGGAGTCCAGCGACATAGCCATTACGCTAACTGCTGGTTCCCCCCATTAATTTTTTGAAGTCTCCTTGTACTATTTTAAGAGCTGAGAGAACTTGGGGTAGGGAGGAGGTCTTTTTTTTTTTTTTTTAATATTTATTTATTTATTTATTTCCATTTGTTATTACTATTATTTATTTTAACTTGACCAGAGAGAGAGAGAGAGAGAGAGAAAAGGAAAGTGAGAAAGCAAACCACCAGTTCCAGGACTCGAACTGTGGCCAGCCATGTAGGAGTCCAGCACCCTCAACCACCACACCACCTGCTGGCCTCAAGAGGAGGTCTTATCTGGGGGAGTTGGACCTACCCTACAGGTGAGGTCTGGGTAAGATGGGTCGAGAAGGGACAGAGATGATCCTGACCACGCCCCTCTGCCTTATCCACGCTGTAGCTGAACGACGGACAGTTCACCGTTATCCAGCTGGTAGGCATGTTGCGGGGCATCGCCTCAGGTATGCGCTACCTTGCTGAGATGAGCTATGTCCACCGAGACCTGGCTGCCCGCAACATCCTGGTCAACAGCAACCTAGTCTGCAAGGTTTCAGACTTTGGCCTTTCCCGGTTCCTGGAAGAGAACTCTTCTGATCCCACCTACACGAGCTCTCTCGTAAGCCTGGGGACCCTGGGGTATGAGCTAGGTCCTTCGGGCAGGTGGGGAGGGCAGGCTGGAAAAGTGGGAGGCTGGAAGGGAGCCTGGTTCAGGGAGAAGCTACCCAAGGAGACTGTGACATTAGGGAACCGAACTTCAGGAGTCTAGGAAAAGAACCGAGTTGCGAGTTGCGGAGTTGGGTCCCAGAATGAAACGAAGCTTGAGCCAGGGGGAAACAAGTACAGGGTGTGGGCGCTGTGCCTGGGTCCTAAGTCCCTCTGCTCATCTCTTCCACTTCCGTAGGGAGGAAAGATTCCCATCCGATGGACAGCCCCCGAGGCCATTGCCTTCCGGAAGTTCACATCTGCCAGTGATGCCTGGAGCTATGGGATTGTGATGTGGGAGGTGATGTCATTCGGGGAACGGCCATACTGGGACATGAGCAATCAGGACGTAAGTGTCCCATGGTCATACCAGGTTTTCCTGGAATGTTTTCATCTGGGGTATGGGGTTGGCAGGGAAGGGGTTTCTCAGAGAGTCGTTACCATTGGCCTTTGGGTGATGGGAGTGGCACAAAGGAAAGGTGGTTTTTGCACTGAAGAGTTGGATACAGCACACTGGGGCACAGCAAGTTGCAGAGATGGAGGGCAGGGTGGGGAGGTCACATGTCTAGATTTTAGCCTAAGAGCTGCTAGTGCGTTCAGCCACAGTGAGCCTTGGCCCTAGCCAAGAGGACTCCTAGATCTGTGATTCTGGGGGGCTGTGGCTGTCATCTCAGCATCGTCTTAAGTTGCCATTTCCTCGGGGCCCTTTGGCATCCTCGTTCTCCCTGAATGTCCTCACCCACCACTTCTTCCAGGTGATCAATGCCATTGAGCAGGACTACCGGCTACCCCCGCCCCCACACTGCCCCCCCCCCCCCCCCCAGCC